AAAAAAAAAAAAAAAAAAAAAAAAAAGGTTACATTTAAATCAATCCCTGTTCCTCATAAGCTAAACACCATTTGCCATTTTTCAGCCACCATTTGAGTTTCGCTCACACGCTAGCCACAAATTCTGGGCTGCGGGAGGCTGTGGTCAGCCCAGTGTCCGGTCAGCTAGCTAAAGATAACCGGCTCACTTTCTGGCCCGGGACAGGAACAGAAAGAGCACCGCAGAGTAGTCAAAAAATACATTTTCAAAAAATGTACTGTTAAGAGATGGTGTAACAAAGCTCCTCCTTTTCCATGAGCTGAAATGTTCTCTGTAAGAGTAACTGTATCAGGCTAAAAGGAGAGGGAAGGGTCTGTTTTCATAGTTCCTTTACACTAGTTGCCGAGCTTATTTTGCAGAAAGGATGTGTTATTCCCCATGGACAGGTGCAGTGGGAGTGGAGGCGGGCTGGGGCACTAGGTCCTCCAGGTGGGAAGGGGACAGCTTCCCGTCACCTCACAAAGGATACTGATTTCGTTGTCTCTCTGCTTCAGTACGTCCTGGAGCTTTCTGTATTCTTCCTCTCTCAAGGGTTCTTGGCAGTCTTGGTCTTTGGTTTCAGAGAGGCCTGGATTCTTCCCAAGGATCTGCTTGTCATTCACAAGCTTCTGTAAGTTGAAATAAAAGCTTAGCGTCTCTACCTCCGTACCCGGTTTCTTCATCTCTTCCTTTCTCTTTTCCCTTTGCCAATTCCTTGCACACATCAGACATGCGTGCCCTTCCCCGCCTTCCTGTCTTCCATGCAGCTGCTCTTACTGTCTGATATGCTCTCCCCTCCCTGCCCTCCTCACTGCCCCTGTTCCCCGCTCTGTTTTTTTGGTACGGGGGATTGAACATGGGTCCTTGCGATTACGAGGCAGGCAGTGGAACCACTGAGCTAAATCCCTGGCCCTCTTGCCCTCTCTGTATCTCTCCTGCCATAAACTGCACAATCTCTATTCCAACGTTATCTCCTCTTGGACTCTCTTCCCTTTCTCTGTAACACCACAGCACATAATTCATCCTGTTATTGTGGTACTTGTCATATATTGGAATTGTTCTTTTCATACCTATTTCCCCAAGACTCATTTATTTAACTTGGCCTCCCCTATGCCTGGGCTATAGCAGACTCTGAGCAAATGTTCATTATCTTAATGAGTATGTAAAAATATAAGTAAAGGAGAGGCAGAACTGATGATATTCCCATTTCCTCACCATGAAAGGTAAAAACCAAGGCAGAGAAAAACTGGCAAACTATAAGAATAAATCAAAGTTGCCTTAAAAATGTAGGTCACACTTCTCCTGATCTTGCTTAAAAATAGTTTTTCCATCATGGAACTATTCTGTGTGGAAGACAAAGATTCCTGGCAAAAAAATTAAAAGCCATGGTTTGAGCCTATTTTATTGACAAGTAAGATACACTCTCAGAAGAAAATGATAATCACAGCATTGGTTCAAATGGCTCACACCATTTTCTGGACGTGTCAAGCTGGATCTGAACTTTTCAAGGGTTGGTCAACTAGAAAGGTTTTTCATTGCAGTTTGAGCATGGCAGGAAATGGCTTCTATGGGAGGAAACATTTAAATTTACCTTTAAATGATGAAAACAGTGATGAATTTTACGCATATCAGTGCCAACCTCTAGTCTACTCTCTGGATCTTGGTCTTCCAAAAAGGATGTCATTAGTTTTTCCAGCCTAAAAATACAAAATGCACGAGAAGCAACTATGAGCAAGAAACTTCAGAAATCCTAATGGTATTTCTTGGTTGTTTAACACTTGAAAGTATAGGGTATAGTTCCTACTTTTTCATAGAAATGCTGTTAGCTGATTTGATTCTAAAAATTAAGGAAAAAATGTATTTATAAATGAAATATACAATGGTGCAATCACTTGACTAATTTCCAATGATTTTTCATAGGCAGTTTTCATTCTAAGAGTCATCTGATTTCTAGACCCATTCTATGCCCACCCATGCTAGCCGAGCCAAATTTCTTTGCCTGATGCCTGGCTGTCACACTGCTGGAGAAAATGAAGAAGCACAATTTTTTGTTAAATTTTATTAAAAATTCATGTCACTCAGCCTGTGCCGCCCCCTCAATGATGCTTTCTTCATCTTCAACTATCCCATACCGCTTTCAAGGTTGATTTTAACGTCTTTATGGCGGCTTTTCCATCTTTCCAGGCCCCACCCACCCCTCTTCTGGTGTCCACCAGTGAAACAGCTTTTTCACAGACTGAGAAGGCAGACCGGGCACAAGCAGCTTCCTGCTTTCCCTTTACCTCTGAGCTGCTGTCCCATCCTCAGACCCTCTTTCCTTCTTCCTGGAACCCGGACAGGATGCTTCTTCCTCCATTAATCACCTCCCTTTGCTCTCAGTTGCCTCCTCTTCCCCTTTCTGCACTGATACTTTCTCTCATTCACTAACAATGATTTTCATGTTTTTCCCAAACAGAACACTAAACATCTCCCTTTGGAGGGACCACCTAACTACTGCGTGCCAAAGTCCTGGTTTAATCTGTAATGTCTGGTGTCAGCACTGTGTCTGACAGTCGGTGTAAGCACCTTGCTCCTGACGACACCTCCCAGGACTGTATGAGCACCATGAGGCTAGGCTTGGCTGTAATTTATCTTTGTGGCTTGCCCACATTAGGTTCTCAATACAAACATGTTCATTAGCAAATGGGTTCATGTTCATGGAAATCAGCCTCTCTGTGTGGAGCTGGAACTCTTACTAACGAAGCCTACAGGTGACACTGGATACTGGGTTTCATGACACAGCCACAGTGCATCTCTCTACCATTGTGGTGAAAATATTTCCTTAAGTTTAGCCTCTTTAAAAACTGTCTTTATTTCCCTTTCACTGTTGCTGTTATCCCACAAACAACCTATCACCCAGAGCAGCTTTGGATTTCACTTTTGTCTCTTCCTGTAATCCGTAATATGTGACAGCTGACATTTGTAAGTGTGAGACACTTTATACCTCTTAGAGTTTCTTTGGGTAGAGTGTTACTTGTCGTTTGTATTATTTGCTTATTGATTTTTTTTGTGTGTGTGTGAAATAAAGCCTCAGAACAATAGATACTTGGAGAGATTCATTTCTGATAGAAAGATTAAAACTTTTTGTATTAAATATTATTAAAACACGTATTCATGACCAAGACTCCTAACAACACAGATGTGAATGAATTAAAAAGTAAAAAATCTTCTCCCTGTTCCTCTGTTGCATTCCCACTCTGTCTAATGTCAGTGCCTTGGGTAATCTACAGTTCACAGAGGAAATGCATTCATCTAGTTTTTAGTGAAATAGATACCTATATGTCATCTATTTATTTGTAGATTATGTTCGCTTTTACAAAAAGGAGATCACACACTGAATAAAGTTGCATCATTATTTTTCTAAAGAATTTACCACCGATCATCTTCCATAACAGTACATACACAGCAGAGCGGTTTCATTCTTCAGTGGCTCTATTACAGTCCATACTGTGATGCTCTGTTCCTCTCATGGGAGACCTGGGGCAACACCTAGCTGCTACTGTCCTCTGTAACCCACGAGGATGTCTGGGGCAACGATTCCCACCTTAGTGAGGCTTCAAAAACAGTAATGTTGTTTACTTCTGTTTTTCTTGAATACTTAGCAGTTCTGTAATACAGAAGGACAGCCAAGGACAGGAGCCAAAGAAATGGGTCAGAATTGCCTGCTCCTAAGTACAAGAACTGGACTGCTTCATTGGTTCTAGGACTTGATGAAACTTATATCTGAGAATGGACTTTGTTATGCGTAGCTTTCTTCGCAGCACTTGAGACCACAGAGCCTTTCTAGATAAAGAAAATGCCTGGTCTTTCCTTCACACATTTGATTTACTGATTTATTTTGACTTACTTTCTTATCAAGCAAGGACTTGGCATGATAATTAAAATGCAGAAAAAAGTGCTCAATTCAGATATTTCCGATGTACTAAGTTTTCTAGTAGTTAAGAGTGAACAAATGACCTCAAATTCCCTGCATTTTCTTCTCTCTCAAAATAGTTCCCAAGTTCAAACCTAGTCCCTGCTCCCGCCCAGGGCCGCCCTGCTGCCAGAACCCCACTGAGGAGCAGAGGGTGTTTCCACAGAAGGCTCAGAGGAGCCAAGTGAGCTCCATGAGGCTGATCTTTAGGCAAGGCCCAAATCAACGGGAGACTTTCCCTTTGCTCTGCTTTCATTGGAGAAAACAAAGAAGGCAAAGTAGAAATAACTGCACAGCATCCTGTTCTCACCCATGCGGTTGATCTCACAGATAAGCCGAGGGCCCCTAACTGTCTGGTGACTGTCTGTCTCCAACAGAGTGACTACCAGTGAGGCACCCCGGCCAGCCTGGGGCCTAGTTGGTCACAGATCCCGATACCTGTCCTCACGTTTAGGATTGACCACATTACTTAATATGTACTTCACTCTCGAGACCACTGTATTCCCCTCTGCTTCTATATTCCTGGCAAGAATAAAGACAAAAACAAACCAAAATGTACATCTATGTTCTATCCATTTTCTATGGAAACAGCATGAACTAAAAGAGCAAGCTTCTCGTACTAATTAGCTAGGTTTCCAGATAGACTCCTACACAATTTGCATACCCTATTTCCTATGAGATACTATGATATACTATCCTATGAGATACTATTGTTAGTACCCCAAATCATAGATGAAGAAGCCAAAATACAGACAGGTTAAATTTTATTTTGTCAAGGTCACAAAAGAAGCAGGCTGCAGAGCTGGTACTCATACTCTGGTTGGTTGATTTTAGAATCTAACTTTTGAAGCACAGGGCTAAACATCCAATAGCCAAGTTAGTAAATTTATTTAAATACCATGCTGGGCAATGTACTCCTCTGAGGAGAATGTACACCCACTAGAATTATCTGAGGAGATAAACAGAAAGGTGAACAAGCAGGAAAAAACTGAGGAGCAGCTGCAGAGAACACAACAAAGCCCTTGACCAGCATGACTTGAAATAGCGACAAAAGGTGGAAAGAATCAGAATTTTCCTTATTAGAAGATTAGTTAAGTAAACTGTGGCATAGTTATGTACCTAGTTAAGTAGTCATTTAAAAGGATGGTGAAGTAGTATGCTCAAGGGTATTATAATTATTCATGATACACATGGTTAGGTTAGCACTGAATTCCTTTCAGGGATTTTGCAAGCGCTCTCTTTAACACACATAAGAAGACAAAAAGAAGCAAAGGAATGAATAAAAGAATGAAGGAAGGGAGACGAGGAGGAAGAAGGGGGGAAAGAGTGGGAAGGGAGTAGACCAGCAATCCTGAAATTTCTGGCCAGTTGCCTTTAACTCCAAAACATTTATCAAATCCCTGTGAAGAGAGACGTGATCCAAGCTAAACTCACTTTTCTGCAATATTTTAACGATATGTTACATCCAAAGATTAAAATAAATTCTTCATGTGTATATTAGCTGCGATTAAGCTGTTCATATTAATCTCAAGTAGTCTTTGCCACAGTCTTGTCAGCATTAGCTTCTAGAAAAGGGCTAGAAACTGTGTCCCTATGGTGCCAGTTGTGGGACAGCTGGTTGCTAAGAGGAGTGAAGCATTAGTAAGAAGGGAAACCTAACTGGGCACAGGAACCCTCGCTGTGTTGAAACCACGGGGATATGTATGGGACTGTGCTTCTCAGAGCGGGAGGGCGGTACTGGCTCTGTAACCAGACAAAGCAAACAGGACTGGCCAGCAGCACAGTATTATTCCACGGGATTTACCAAACACAGGGCAGGGAGTGCAAAGCATGGGACCTTGTCCTCTGGTACTTAATTAGAAAGTGAAGTGGATGAAAACTGGTCCCAGTTGGTGAGTCAGACTGCTCTGCGGTAGAACCTTGGAACCACGGTGAATCCCAGAGCTGACAGTTCCTAGCTCTTTAGTCTCCTCAATGGTTTTGGGAGAGGAACAGATAGCTCATCCCAAAGGGCTAGCAAATAATTCTGATTTAAGAACTTAGTGGGTATTAATTATACCAAAGAGGATTAAAGTCTGTCTGACCTCTCCCACTAAGTACCCCACTAAAGATGGCTCCACTAAGGATGGGTTGTGTCTGGCAGTGCTGGGCACAGGGGATGCCAATAAACCATTGGAGTATGACATGAGCAAAGGTCTGAAAAAGAACTAGAAAATGGTAATAGGGCAATAAAGGGAAATCTGGCACCAATTAACTTTGAGGAATAAAACTAAATACAAAGAATGGGAGACTAGTAGCATGACTGAAAGTAACTGGTCATGGGGGGCTAGGAACCTTGGTGAACTATGGGGTTGAGTGGTCTTAACTGATCCACCAACCTTGCTGGGTCACAACTCTCTCACCTGTAAAATGTGCAAGCTCATACGTCTCTAAACTATAAGCTTGATGGAGGAAGATGCCTCAAGGAGCAACGAGAGAAACTGATGCCTGGCTTGGCGGGGCCTTGCTGTTCTAGGGTGGACACTGGACCCACCTCCTGGACCTAATGTGGCAGACATTCATTTTTGCTGTTTAAAAAAATACACTTTGATTTGATTGACATATAGGAATGGCGGTGTCTCTGGGGCACAGAGTGATGTTCGGCACATGTATAACGTATTTGATTAGATCGGGGGGCGACTCGTCCGTCACTTCAGACATTAATGGTTCCTTTGTCCAGTTATCCCAACGTTTATCATGTTCTTT